TTAAAAAGCTCTGCCAAGCAAATGAAATACCCAACAGAGAGAAAAGATAAACTACAAAATCAGAAAAAAATTTCCATCTATTCCTGAGACCAAGTACTAATATATAGAATACATGAAGAAATCAAAAACAATTAGAACCTCCAATAAAAAAAGACTCATTTAAAAATAGGCAAGTAATACTGATAGACACTTCTCAGAAAACCAAAGACCAATAAATACACGAGGAAATGTTCAACATCACTGGCCAGTAGAGAAATGCAAACTAAATAATACTGAAATTCCATCTTGGCCCAGAAAGAATGATTATCACCAAAGCTTCCTATGTTTATATTTGCAGATTTATATGCACATACATTATTCCTAGTTCCTGTTCATTCACATTCTAGAACACAAAGGGCTTCCATAAGGGCCTTGTTCTACTAGTCGTCAAGTTTGAATTATAACTTTAAACTTTAGAAATACCTCCTGCCTTTTACCCATCATGGCCAATATTTCTCATTTTAAAAAAATCAGTCAGTTCTAGTCTATTTGTTTCATTATCATCATTTCTGTTCTTTAAAGCCTAATGTTTTTAGTTAACTCTACTTGCTATGTTCACTTGTTTATATGCCATTCAGTGATGTAGCCTTCACCATACATTGCACCATCAAATTCACTAATGATCTCTGTATAATAAAATCTGTTATGGCTTGTATCTTGATGCCCCCCCAAAGCCTCAGGCAGTCATAGGTGGGGCTTTCTGGAGGTGGTTGGATCTGGCATACCTGATGCTTGGATCAAGGATGTGTGATTACTACATTAGTCCACCGATGGTTTTTGCATAGTTGAGGGTAGATTTAAGGGTGCCCTCCCTTAATTTAAGGGTGGGTAGGCTGGATAAATATAAGGGACAGAAAGAGCAACCTTGCTTGCTGCCTGCTGCTTTCTGCTTGGTGCCTCCTCTGCACGACCCTCTGCTATGCTGCCCTGCCTTGGAACCAGACATATATGAACTGAAACCTCCACAAACCACGAGCCTTTCCCCTCTCTAAATTTGGTTGTCAAATACTTTGTCTCAACAACAAGAAAAGTAACTAAAACAAAGTCCAATGACTCATTTTCAGGATTCCTGTCATTAACCAGCATTTTATTTATCATCTTCTTGCTTTTTCTTACATATCTTATGTGCCTTTTACAAACTTTATTTTAAACTTGATTTTCTGACACTTATTTTTAAGATGATATGTACTTTCCTTAGCTCTGATCACATTCTGTCGGTGACACAGCTTAATTCCATCATGAAGTCTACAGAAACTCCTTCAGGTAAGAATTATCATCTGAACTCAGGCACACACATTTAAACATTTTCATTTCTGTGGATCACAGGTATCTATCTCAGCCTTAACACGATTGACATCAAAGTCACCCTTTTTCTGCAGAAATCAGATCTTCCTTTCCACGGTTCAAAGCCTGACAAATGGTACCTCACGCCTTTCAGTTGTTAGAAATTTATGAGGCAGATTTAATTCTTCTCTCCCTATCATGATATTCTATTGTTTCCCAGCCATCGTGTTAAGCCTCATTAATATGTCACAAATTTACCAACTTTCCATGACTTGAGTACCAGCCATTGTGACTTCTTCTTTAGATTGTTGGGATTCAATTTTTCATTTTTCTAGATTTGTCTCTCCCAATGTGTTCTCCATTTAACACCCAGAGTTATTATGTCATTCTCAAATATCAAAATTCTTACTGTTTTTCTATTAACATGACAGACTTCAAGCTACTGTATTTAGCACTGTCACTTCATCTCAACACATTTTGAGGCTCATTTTCCCTATTTCTTTCTTTCTGTGCATTCTTTTCTTTATTGCCCTCTTTAACCAGCTGCCTCACCCCACTGTGACATACTTCGTTCAAAAATCCTTTTGCACATGCGCCCTCCTTGGTCATAAATTCTCCTGTCCAGAGTCTTATCAACTTAGCTAATACCCATATATTCTTATGCTTATGTTTAGATCCTTCTTCTACTAGGACTCTTTCTCTCACCTCTCATAGTAGTTAGTTGTTTCTTTGTGCTGTAACAATGCTTATATCAGTAGTTATGAGTTCCCTAGAGTTCAATAACATTTGAACTCTAATTTTTTGCTAGGATCTGTTTTAAGCACTTTAAGTATTGTAACTCATCCTACCTTAACTTCTTCAACGCTTAGGAAAAGCTTATGAGAATTTTTTTTATCAGATAAGTAATCTAAACTACATGGAAGTTAAGTGATGTTCTCATTTTTCCACAATTAGTAACTCACATGAGTAGCTTCTCTAGTTAGGTATCTGATTTACGAATGAACAAACTTAGCCATTATGATAATTGATGTACTTATGCCACTGTGTCATGGTAATTCGTTTAAATTGAGCTTCCAAAAATCATTAGAAAAAATTTGCACGCCTAGCACTTAGCACAATAAACCACATATGCTTCCAATATAAATTATTTAAATAAGTAAAGTGACAAGTTGAAACATGACTCAAAGAAGGAAGAGTTCCCACCCCAAATCAGTTTGTACTGACCTAACTTTGCCATCATGATACTTACTGACTTGCTGAGAGTTAATATCCTGAGAAACTCTTTTCTATTTCTAAGAGTTTGCATATCTTATACGCTTTCTTAATACACATTTTCCACTGGTGTCTAATTGTTAAACTCAGATTCTTCCTTTCTAATCCAACACAGAACTCAATTTATTTTTGAAGGTTTCAACTTTATATCTTATATGTTGAACATCACAAATAACATTAAATTAGATCTCAAAATGTTTACCAAGGATCTATTTTCAACACAAATTTGAATGTGCATCTCTACTACAGTGTAGTATCTACTGTCCAGGAATTGTTCAATAAATGCTTTAAATGTGGATTGAATGATATTGTTTGGGTTATATTTTGTAAATTATGAAGCAGATATTTTTTAATTCTAGTAAACTAGAGCAAATCTGGTTGGCTCCTACATTGGCAGATAATGAATTATTTGAGTTTTTCAATATTGGCATTTTGAGATGGCTTGGAAAGAGATATTACAATAGCTAGTTCATTTTTCTGGTGTGGTTTGGCAAAGGACATACAAATTTTCCAAAGTCTCTGAAGTTATTCCACTAGTCACTTAAAAGACATTTTAGAAAGAAAGTTTGTTTCTATTTAGAGATAAACCAAAAAAAAAAAAGTAAGTTAATATATGTCAAGCCACCAAACCAATCTTATGAGGAACAAATAACTATAAAATAGCCCAGAACACTATTTTTCATATGAACGCTATATTGGTTCCTTCCTTTGTACTCCATTTGTGGGAAGACAGCAATTTTTAAATGTAAATATGTTATTTCTGGGCCTCTAACTCTTCTATGTAATTTTTTTTTTATCTTTTTCATCAAGCACATGCAAAACTGTTAGATTAAATTTTTTATCAAATCATTTATTTGCTCAAAATTTTTCAGTGACTAAGGTCTATCAAATGAGATTAAACTCCAGAGCTAGGATTTTTAGTCATGGTTTCTGCCTCACTTGATTTGGTAGCATTTGATCCAAGCAGTATATAATAAGTATTTCGATTTTTGCATTGTATTCTTGAAAGAGTGAAATAAGGAGAACCAGCTGAAGTTCCAGACAATGTTGTCTATTATTGTTAACACTGGTAAGTTATCAAGAATATATGCCATTAGTTAAGTAAAATGTTATATGTGAAACAAAATACAAGCCATATAAGTCAAACAAAGTCTCTTCCCAAGTGTCCCATATCATAAATGAAAATGGCACAACCAGATATGATAGAAAATATACTTTGGAGAAAGACTGTGATATTTTAAGTAACGAGAATTTATAAACATTAAAGGCCAAAATGACTTCAGTGGAAAACTAAGCCATTGTTTTACAATGGGGACATTCCAAGAATTCAGCCATGAATATAACTAAACAAATCTACAGCATACAACAAAGATCACCCTTTGGATGCTGGATGAAGCAAGCAGAGACGCCAAGAACACAACGTTCTCTGCATGGGAACTTCTGTCTGGCTGCCAGGCTTAACCGTCCTGTGGCTCTTTCACTCTATTTCTCAAGTTTTCTTTTTTTATTTTTCTTTTTCTTTTCTTTTCTTTTTTTTTTTTTTTTTGCTCTGTCTCTGTAATGCTTTTCTGAGTTTGAATTTTATGTTCTTGCCATCTAACATATCAAAGGATCAAGATTTCAAAGCACTTCAGACAGTCACTAGTTCAGTTAGTTAAAACAAAATCAACATAAATGAACATTTTGTGCCCATTTTCCTCTTTGCAAGATAGTCAGAGTTTCAAATAAAGATGAATGCACAGGGTCCAGTTTAAAATAAAAGTCAACCTCTTCACACACATATACCGATTACAAACTATACCACAAAACTCTAGGAAACAATTTAAATGTTGCTAATTAAAAATCTGAAGACCCTGATGCATTCTCAAAGCAATCTCTGTCACTTTGTTGTACAAATATAATATTGGTAGATTCACTTTGACATACAAATTTTCATTTTTGGAACAAATTTAACGTTTTAATTCATTCAACAAATATACTGAGTACCTACTATATTTCTGATCCTATGCTCAGTGACAAGAAAATGGGATGATTTTTTCTTTAACTTTAGACTAATTCTTGTCTATAAAGCAGTGCTTCTCAATTTATGTTTATCAATCCATGATTCTTTTGCTAAATACAATGTCCTTATCCCACTTTTCAGAAATGGTGGTAACTATCTAATATTGAGAATCACCAATATACAGGATATAGACTCTACCTTTTGTGTATCTTTGATAGACAGACTCTCTTGGAGTTTTGATTTTTTTTATTTAAAAAGCAACATATATACCAATGCTGAAATAAAATTCAAATTTCTCATACTCACTGCTTTGAGAATCACTGCTTTAAAGAGTTTGGCAAAAACCAGGCAACCTCCATCTCTCCCCTCCAATCAAGACTTAAAGGAATGAGAATTTTCCTACCTGACACAACAGCTGGTGGAGTATCATAATCCTGTCTTGGGATTGAATCTTTGAATGAAAAGAGCATGAGAAAGAATGCAATGAAGTACAAAAGAAAATAAAACAGAATTTTAGCTTTAAAATTTGGAAAGGTCCATTGCCCATCTTATGTTCACCTAACCCCCTGTCTTCAAGCAGTCAAGGCATTATGACTCTAGTTTACAGGTGATACTCCAATTTAGTAGGTACCATGGCTCCTACCACCACCATGTTTCACCCGATGTCAGGACCAGCATGATCTGCATGAACACTATAATTTGGAGCATGATAGTTTTCCTGTTTGTTTTGTTTCATTGGGAATCAATGAGAATTATTTACTCTCCCTGGCTGACACAAAAGTTTTACAGGCAGTCTATTTGGAGGAGGCTCAAAGTGTGATATAAAGGGAAAACCTAGAGAATAAAAGGAAGAATGGTAATTTAAAGAAGATAAAAAATTTGCACATTTTTTGTACTATGGAGGTGAGTGCAATTTGAAGTCCTAGTTGGGGTGTGATATGTGGCTATGTGGGAGGCAGAGCAGAGGGAGCTTTCTGTTCCACAGAGAGAAGATTTCTGTGTTGACTCTGTGGAGCAGAAATTCACAGACCACAACTTATTGAATGGATAATGGCTGTATTTTTCTATAGTGTTCTAACCCCAGGAAATCATCATTGAATTACATGGCAATCACTGCAAAATTTTGGTTCATGGGGATCAAATATATCCAAGGTTTTGAAGATAAAATAAGATTTGGCTTGATACAATTTCTTTAGCCAGGGCTATCAAGAAATGGAAAGTAGGCCTGTGGCCTTAGACCCCTTTCAAAAAGAGCAAACTTCTAACCTTGTTTCACATTCAAATAAACTGCCCCGAACATAGTTAAATAGATACTCTTGGGTGGACTCTTACTTTAATCATATGACCTGAAATCCATTTTAAAAAGCCAAAACCCCAAATTTATTATTCCACACATTTAAAAACTTTTGGACCACCACAAATTTCTCACTTTCATCTCCTTTCCACAAAAGGATAACATTAATTACTCTCCAGTGTAAATGGCATATGAAAATGTAAATAAATTAAACATTGCAAAGTACTTTGTCAACAAGAAACACTGATCAGAAGGGTCATATGCAACAAAAACCATATTTATAAGTTCTTACATTTCTCACAACAGTTTACTGAACTAGTGAGTTAATTGTAATTCCCAAATTTAGAAAAAAAATAGTTATTTATATATCTAAACGTTTTGCTAATTAGTGGTTTTAAATCCTACCTTTTGAAAAAATGGCAGTTATGCATTATCAGTATAAAACAAAACAAAGAAACATTAATTTTTGGATCATGTTGCTGATCATTTCCCAAAAATACACCTATAAAATTTAAAAGTAAATAATGAAAGAAGAGCCGGGGATGTGGTTTAGCTGTACAGAACCTGCCTGGCAAGTGTGAGGTTGTGAGTTCAATTCCCTGCACCAAAACCAAAAATCAAACACCAAAATAATAGGAGAAAATAATACTGAGTGCTGAATAGTTCGAGAACGTAGACAAGTATAATGTTTAAAATAGAAATTATCTGTAATCTCTTCCTTCAAAATAATTACACTTACTTTGCATTTCTTCACACCATTATTTTATACACTTTATTTTTCACAGTGGGAGTTATATCCACATATGCAGATTTTTCTTTCTTTTTTATATAACATTTTAATTTATCTAATTAATTTGAACTCATAATTAGATGCTATTTTACATTTCAATTTATGGATAGTTTATGATTTGTTCAATTTTTCTGCTCATTACACATTATAAACAACACTATTAACTATTTTTGAAGCATCAAGACTTCACCATTTTAGAATATTTCAATAAACTACTTATTCAAAACTGTAATTGTCCTTTCTGCCAGGATTAATGTTCTGAAAATTTTGACTACCTTGTGCAGGTGCTAGGTACAAGCTCAAGTTACTTTCATCACACAATCACTATTTGAAAATGTTTATTTTCCAGCATCAACCTCAAGAGTATGAACTATTTCAATGATTTTATTTAATGGGATATGCATTTTGTGTCAGTTATACACAGTAGACTAAATTGTAATTTCTGTCTTTTGTTGTAACTTTTCATATATTCTGCAGCATTCTCTTCCCTTCTTTATCAACTACCTGGACATATTTTTGGCATTTTATGTATTAGGACTTTTTATTCAGTTGTTAATGTACTTTATTGTGTAGCCCATTTTTTAAACAACAAAGCTTTAAAATTTACTTAATAGACATTTAGATAAAGCCTATTCACTTTTTATAATGTAACATTACTCTTTAAAGGTCTTTCATTTTAAAATAAGATTGAACACATTTTTAAATCTATAGATTGTTTACCTATATTTTCTTTCTTCTTCTATTTTACCATTTAAAATTAGTTGTTGTTTTTCCTGAAAAAAATTTAATGAAAAAGTAGCTTGTCATTTATGATACTATGAACTGAAATATGAGTTTCATATTTTATTTCTTTAATGCTTCTCCATTTTAATATCTATGTGGGAAAAGAAGAAAGAGAAAGAAAAAAACAGAGAGGGGAAAATGGAAACAAAGATTTTATACATAAGAAAGGGAAACGAAGTTGAATGGAGAGGAGAGGAATGGGAAAAAAAGGGAGAATCAAGACACGCCAGGTACAGGTCAAATTTCCTGTGATGACTATAGTCATTATGTATATCTAAAATGTATCAACAAACTTAATTAAGAAATTTAAAAATTAATATCTAATAATGGTTACAAAAATAAAAAGAGACAACAACTAAGCAAAGTGAATAATTTAGGTTTCTACCTGGTATTGACAGAATTTTAGAACAGTAAAGGAGTATTGTGATTGAAAGCTGCTGGAGAACTTGCAGAATATTGGAATACAATCACAAGTTTACTTTTGTGAGTGGCTTATGGCTGTACCATGGGAATACAGAGATGTCACAAATCACCAGTGCCTTGGAGAGCACAACAGTAACTGCAGATAAAGAGACTTCAGAACAAAGTCTTTTTCTTTCTTTCAAAAGATTTGAATGACATTGCAAGCCACTGGTAAGGAGCAACCAAACAAATGAAAGGGGAGATATGAACCTTGTAAAACAAGTTTATCATACAATTTGGAGGGTTTTCATAACACAGGAAAGTCCCTAGTGGTATTTTCCAAACCTTACACTAAGAAATTATGATAAGAAATATGTGATAAGAAATTATGGATAATGGGTTGCTTCAATCAAAAGAATCCTGTGGCAAAAATAAATAAAAGCATACAAAGCTAGAAAAATTCATGAAAGTCAGCAGAGCCATGAAATACAACCATTATACTGTTGCATAAAACTCATTTATTTTAAGGCTGATGGGTTTATCTAACCCTAAAATAGGCAGCAAATTGAAAAATAAGCATTAAAAGGGAAAACTTATACAGAGAGTTTGATTAAATTACATAGCACCCATTTGAAACTTTGGGGTTATCTGACATGAAATACAACTGTTGTTATGAAGATAAAAAAGAGGTTTTGGCTCAATATAATTCCTTTAGCTAGGGATCTTTATAAGGAGTGTGATATAGCCTATGACTTAGTACATTTTGTAAAAAAGAGATAAACTGAATCGAATTCCACTTCCCATTAGCTCTGATCATGAACTTCTCTATGAAAGTATTCACAGGACCTCACTGTGTTCTGCCCTAGAAGCCCATCACTTCCTGGAAGTGAAATTTCCTATTTTAATCTTAGTTGTCACTGACCACACTTTGTTTTGCTGAACTTCAGTAAACTTAGTTGTCTGAAAGTCTCTAAAGAGTTCTGGAGACAGTCATTGTCAGGGCATTTTAGACTACCTGGCAGCGGTAACGTGGTGCAGAATGGATTGGAGAAAGTGGGGGGCTGAAAGCAAGAAAGAGCAGGTAGGAGACCATTGAAATGAATCCAGGGAGGCCCACGGCAGAGTCCCTGGAACTGTGGAAGAGGAAATGTATCTGGCAGAAACAGTGTCTGGAAGGCACAGTTATTAAATATTCTAGCTGGTGGTGAGCGAGAAGAAAGGGCCTAGATTGACTTGTAGGTACATAGTTTGACTACTAGCAAATGATTATGACTTAACTTGAAAGAAAACAGGGTACAGGTACACACAGGAGGAAAGGAACTCGGAAGTTTAGAGAAGCTCATGAAGTTACTTCTGGTCATTCTGATTTTGAGAAACTAGCGGGAAATTTACATGGAGAGAGCAAATTAGTAGTTGGAAAATGAGGGATTCTAAGATGAGGTTAGCAGAGAGCGCTCAGATATGGGACTCTTCAGTGGAAAAGCAAGGTTTAAAACCATGAAAGTGGAGTAGATGCTTAAGGAAACCATATAGCCTGGTTAAAAAGGAAACCATCATTTAGTGACTGAAAGAAAAGAAGAAATGGTCAGAGAATTTGGAGGAAAACCTTGTATTGCAGTCACACACATGGAGCTTTGGGGGATAAACTGGGCCTCAATATTTAATGACATGAAAATGTCACACTGAAATCCAAATATTCAGATTATCTTGAAAAACTACAAGGTACGATCCCTCTGGGTCTGTACCCCACATGGCCATAGCTGCCTGGATTTCAATGGCAGCCACTCTCTAGACAGAGGTACTCATATTCCAGGCTGCCAAAAGCACCACGCATCACCAGTTTGTCCAAACTCGTGTGGAGATTTCATTTTTAACTGCATTGGAAAACTTCTAAAATATAACTTTAATATTATGTGACTTCATATAACATGTTCACATTTATCATATAGGGAAACAGAGCAAATTTGATTACATATTTGAACTCAGTCAGCTTCACTTACTAATGTGATTTAGGTAGATTGTAGAGTTTTGACTTTGAAGTCATAGATGAGTATTATAGTAGCAAAAAAGTGGAAATTTTTAAAGAAATTAATGACATTATTTGGCATAGAACAAGTGAAAGAGTTGTTCTCTGGTTTTAATAGGGTACTAATTGGGCTAGACTTCCACCAGTTAGGTAGAAGCTACTGAGGCTGGAGGGGTTAGGTAGTTCAGTTGATAAGCACCTCAAGGGCATTATACACTGTTTTGGGTGTATTATGTACATCATTCCAATTAACACTCAGAACACCCTGGGTTGTATATAATGTTACTCTCATTTTGTAAAAGATGAAGTGAAAGTTCAAAGAAGTTAAAAACTTGCCTAAACATATATATTGAAAGAAAGATAGAGCCAGACTTTTAACTCCAGTTTGATTCCAACTTTCTTGGACTTTCCATGATGCCAAGGTGCTTTCCATATCAATAGAAATATTGGAAAGATAGCTAGTAGGTGGGAAAACTCAATTTTAAATATCAACCTCAATTCCATAACAGTCACTTCAAATGTCAACTAACATTCAGATAAATTAAATCTATCATGGTATGTTCAGGTATGAGATTGATAGTTTAAGGGAAGAAAAATCCAGCATTTGAGTCACTTAACATACTCTATCATCTTTTGTTTAATGAATAAGTAGACTAATAAGTTTCCTCTATGCCTATCCAGAACTTCATAAAATTTTAAATTTTTCATAAAATTATATGAGACTTATTATTTGTCAAAATATTATTTATTTGCAAATTTAAAGGGAAGAAAAATGCAAATAAGCAAAAACCTAGGGGAAGTATTACAAATAAGCCATATGCAAAAAATTTTATTTTCTAAGAAGGTAGTGAAATATGTCATTATAGAATTATTCTTACTGGTTGTTACCAGCTAAATAAAGTTATAGATTCACATAAATTTGTCCTTATTAAAATGCTCAAATACACTATTTATATATATGTATATATACATACACCATTATATATATATATATATATATATATATATATATATATATGTATATATATTTGGATCAGTAGTACAATTCCGAGCCTGTTCAGTATCATTTGGCTTATTTTTCAATTTTCTAAAGGATTCAATCATATGCTCAACCTAACATATTTTACACACTTAAACTTTAGCAACTACTGGCTTTGTTTTTGACTCAAAAATGTAAAATTTATTAATTTCTTTCTTTACTTTGCACTTTAACTTTTTTCTGTTATCATATTCATTTGTCAAGAGAATTTCATACTTCATTCATTCAAAATTTATAACTATTGAAGGACAGGAGGCTGCTACACTAAAGAGCAATCTCCATGTGTAACATGATCAAACCTCAAGCCTACTTATTATTAATTGCTGTTTTCATAATGCATCATGTTTGAATAATCCTTATACACTAAGAACAAAACTATTATCTTCAAATCCTCTCTCTAATGAAAATTGCCTATGCCACAGTTATAAATAAATGTAATCTTAAACATGACTTCTAAAGCTCAAGATCAAAAACCTAAGAAATCCTTTGATTCATTCCAAGCATTCAGACACTTGGGTTATCATCAATTGCTTTTCATGGAATCAGCAACTGAAGCCCTAAACATTAGTGCTTTGCTTTGTTAATAAAACTTAGTTTCTTTACTAAAACGCTGTGACTCTTTCTTTTAAGAGGATGAATGTCTTCCCGTGTAAAGTGGATTAGTGAGACCTCAGAAGACATGTGAAGAACTTCTTGTATTCCATACAGTCTACAGATCAATATTCTCTACTCAGCAAGCTAGTCACTGATTAATTAATCCTAAATATTTCTGTGTAGTGTTCCTAAATATTTGTAGATGATATCCAAGTAACATATGAAACTAAGTATGTAAAATCATAATAGTTTGGGGGCATATATCAAGCTCAATATTTGAACATTATTGAGACCAGAAATGCTATTTTTCCAAGGACAGATAGAAACCACAGAGTTCAGTGGAGTTTTAAAACTAGGATTCTTGATTTCTACTCCAGTGATTTTTCTAAATAATCTAAACTGCACATTCAGAAGAAATAGTACATATTTTTCTACATTTAAAAATAACAAACTATTTGTATTAAAGTTCAGGAGAAATATAGCTATTGATGGTGTCAAATGTAACAGTAATAAAGTTTTACCATCATTGTATTAGGCATTTATCTTCTTGAATAAGTTGTCAATTATTTTTGAAAGTATCTTTTCTAAAAAAATAACATTTTTCCATGATTTCAAATTTCTTACCGATATAAAATCAAGCTGAAAATATATTTGCTTTTAAGTACACTTTTGTTTCTAAGGAGAAATAAGATTATTTGAAACTTTTTCATCCTAATAAAAAGAGATTGAGCTCATTAGAGTCCCTTTCTTCTTTTCAGTTCTATGTCAACATATCAAAGACAAACATCAAAAGATATTTTATGCCAAGTTCTCAATTAATTTTATGATGTTAGACATTGAAAGTCAATAAAAAGCTCTCCTTCTATCAGTCATAGTCAGAGCTGGCCCCTTGTGGAGAAAGGGGATGATATCCTGGCTGCAAGGGTAAACAACTGGGAAAGCAGCCTAAAGCATATCACTCCTGGGACTACATTTGCAGATGCACGGAAAAAGGACACATTTCTGAAAGCAAGATTCAAATGCAGCACAGTAAAACCCTCAGCCTAGTCAGTGTGAGCAAATGTGTCCTGCAATCTGATGCCAATGAACTACACAGCTCATTCATACTGGCACCTGAAAAACGTGTTAGGCAGGGGTACAGAACAAGTTTCACCAATAATGCCTACAAAAAGAGAGGGCTGTATCTTATTAAAATACAAGAAGATAAAATAAAATGAGTTTTTAACTCACCGTTCCTGTTGTGCCCAGTGAAAGGTGATTCATCTGTTGTGTCAGGGGACCCATCATGTTTGTTGGCTGCATTGACATAGGATGTTCCATTGTTGGTGTGATCACAGCACCCTACAAGCACATACAAAGTCCATCTGAAAACACAGTCTACAGGAAGACAACTTTTAAAAAAACAAGGGCAGTACACTACTTTTTATGTTAACATCAAACATGTGTACTTTTGCTAAAAAGGCTAAATTCAGGGTTACATGGTTTTTTAACTCATCCATGTCATTTTGTTTTGCCTAAAATACAGCCTGAGCAGCTTCCTTTCTTTGGTGTGATCTCTATGTGATATGTCTAATGCATCTGTCATTTACTTTTCCAAAAGTTGACCTAGAACATATTCAAAGAAATGATGTATATCCTCTTTCCCACTGTTCTAAAGATAAGCTTCTCTGACTGATAAAAGATGAACAATAATGGAAATGGAATCAGACTTTTACTTTATCCAATTTATACAGTATTTACATGAGGAATTCTTGATCGCTCAAATACAGTTTTCCATTAGGGAGATGTTACACTTGTACATGGCCTTTTGACCTGCTCTCTTGAAGGACTTACTGAAATTTAACATTAATTTAGTAAAAATAAAAGTTGTTGTATTTTATGCCTCTTTCTCTGAATCATTTTACCTAGAATTTTAACACAATGCAAAGTACTCAACTTGGTCAATATTGATCAAATTTTCATGTTCCTACATAAATTAAAATTTAAGAAATGCAGAAGTCAAATTTGTATCAGATGTTAAGAAAGGTGCATTGCAAGGATACATGTTTTTATTTATTGTAACTATAGGAAATATAAGAAAGGGCAAACATTTAAAAAATTTTCCATATATATGGAATATATATATATAATGTGTCAGGTGATGGAGCTAGAGTATATTACCTTTGAACACCACTTTTTGTATTCTGCTATTCTCCTTTAACTAAATTAGAGAATGGGAAAAATGTTTTTAAAAAATGGATTGGATGGCATTTTGGAGGATTATATAATTCAAGTGCTTTATATTAGATATTGTAATAAAAAGACACTAACGATAAAACAATTCACTAAAGTATTCTATTGTAATGTGATCATGTATCTGAATAAATTAGCTTTCTTAAACATTATTTTCTAGTTATTTTTTTTTTCCATATAAGTATTTCAAAGAAACAAAGCAAGGGCAAAAGCATATACTGTCAAAATTTTTCTACCAAAACTAATTACTCACAAGCAAATGTTTCCTAAAATAGTTTTGCTCAGGGAGATCAATTTCTTATGGTATTATCTAAACCCAGATTCCTGACTATACTTGCCAAAAGATCAAGGTCCCGTGCAGCCTTCCCTATGACCTGCTCCTGATTAATTTTGAGGGAAAACAGAAATTGCACCAATTATTTGGAAACACTTGATATGAAGATCTGACATTTGGACTTTTACTCTGAGATCTACGAGAAAATGTGCATATTATTTTGTAGCTTTCTAATTTGTAAATACATATAACTGTACATTTGTGTTTGAATTTCTTGTTGATTTTGTGAATTGTATAACAGATTACTTCCCAAGTAAGAGACATATAAATAAAAAAATAAAAAATGAAGTTTTGCTTAATTGTAATCCAGGCTGATCATCTTTTCTTAAATGAAAGATGTATAAATAAAATATACATAAATAAATAAAACAATGTTTTGCTTAATTGTAACTCAGACAGATCATCTTTTCTTCCTGTTTGAATTTTATTACCAATAGTAACTTTATTTTTTCCTTTTTTTAAAAAAAAATACTTACTGGCCTTCATTTCAGGTATTTGTTGTGCCAGACCAGAAGTAAACACTTTAAGAAGAACTACGGTTCTTCTTAAATCACCTAGGGATAAATTATAGAATAACCTCAGAGTTAAGGTGGATGTCCTGAAGCATTTTTTTTAAAACCAAACAGTGGTACTTTCCCAATATGCTAACCCTTAGCAGGAACAAAACTTCAATTCTACTGTTGACTTTGAGATTTAGACTATCTGAGAGTATCTGCTCCTAGACATTCTGACACTGAGTTAAAACAGTGACAATTCCAGAAATCTTTCAATTCTAACCAGCCTGCTGCAACCACACAGAGGATTATTTATGTAAATCTGTGGTAAATGTAAAATTTTATCTGGGAGGTTATTTTCTACTCAATGCCATGGAGGCTACATATTCCCCAAGGTGGAGGAAGATGGAAATGAGGTAAGTGAGCATGTGACAATCAAAATTTGTGAGTGATAAGGGTGGAGGGTTGAATGTCTGAATTTAGAATTAATTTAGGAAAGCCTTCCTCATCTCTTAGAGTACCTTTTGATGGAAAACAGTGTTTGGGGACTCATTTGATTACAGATGCCAGTATGCTGCTCCTGCATAAAAACCAGAAGCCTGACAGTCAAAAGGAAGAGTGAGAAGGGGTTTGTCATGATTTGGAATTCTAAGTAGGAGCACTGGCACAGAAAAGAAACAAGGTAAGGGAAACTTTCCTTCCCTAAATGGAATAGTTATTGTAAATAAGTGAGCAAACATATACAGGTTCTAAGAGGAGGATGTGCAAAAATATATATTTTGGATCATATTCAGTAAAAATGGCCAATGAATAACGAGTTTGTACAAATTATGAAGAATGTGATTTTTTTAATCTCAAAGGAATGGGAAAAATTTACATTACTGAGTGAGCTGGAAGTGAGTGACAGAAACTCCTTAGAGAATTTTCTTGGTGATATGTTTCAGGGAAAGACAATTTAGAGAACTTCAGGGTTGGTTAATGTTAGTGAATCTCTTGCCTTATCAAAGGTAACAGAATCTCTTTTGTATCATATTGTATGGAAGAAAAAAGACAAGAACAAAGGAAAAATCTTATGGTTGTTAAGGCAGAACCAATGTCCTCAACTATAATTGTGCCTCATTAAAAGCACTGTCAAATCCATTTCTCCTCAATGCATGTAAGCATACACTGAAGAGTGTTTTGACAGGTGTTGCCAACATAGTAAGCATAATTTCATTTACTTAAAATGTATAGAATGTGCTGTCTGACAGAGTGCACTTGGCAAATGTTAAAGCAAGAGAAAACAGATTTTTCATTTTAGCATCTCCGGATGTCTGGATTTGCTCAATATTTAAGCTGCGAGGAAAAATATTGTAGCATGCTGTAATTCCAATGAAAAGCACAATGACCAAACAGCTGATGTGGAAGTCTGGTCCATTTTACCCTTGCATCTGCAAAACAAAACTGCTCAATAGAAAAAGGGTGCATTTGGTCATCCAAATTCAAAAATAAATAATTTCAATTGTAATTTGGGTACCGTTTCCAAAGATCAAGTGTGGATGATCCAAAGTCTGGAAAACATCTGTGCTATTAACCTTCTGCCCACATTTGAAAGAAATTTAAAGGCTGAGTTTTCATCAGTTTCCTAACTGAAATATATGATCATGCAAATAAAAAAAAAAGAAACCAGGGGATGCCTCTTTCCCACAATGATCATGCATAGCTGGCTTAACATCTGTATCAGTGTCAGAAGATGTACTATAATAAATACTATCAGTATTGATACTCTTATAATGGACAGTATCCAAGACCAGTGCCACTCCAGTGATGATATATGAGTTAGCAGCATCAACACACATAGAATTAGACTTTCTGGAGTTCAGGTTCTGAATTTGTGTTTTAACAAGGACAACAGGTTATCCTGATAGACACCAGCTTTTTAGAGGTATGTTTTAGCTATAGAATTTAATTGGACAAGCCAATGTTATAGTTTCTTAAAAGCAATTGATTATCATTATTTCCTCTATGCTTTCTTTTTTCCATTATCTGTTCTTATATAGTGTTATATAGTATGTGGTACTTTATGTAATTATTATATCATATCTTATTAAATTCAAAGAGGTCAAACCTGCATTTTTATGGAGGTAAGCTAGGAAGATGATCTTAATTATTCAAATCTAATTACGACTGATTTTCAGCCTGTTACAATGGATTTGTGAATCTTTCTTATTTGGTATCTACTATAAACAATGTATTTGAAATTACATGAATGTCAAAGCAAAAAGTGAGAACATTATTTGGATAATAGTAAGAAAATTATTTGTGTAAAATGAATGAAAAAGACAAATATATCACCTTTCTTACCTTCATTATCTAAATGTTTCATGCCAAAAAACCTGTAGTTCATATCATACCATTTCTCACAGTGACTTATGCAAATGATTATTGAAAATTTTAACACTAATCATTCAAATTAAAACATGGTTTAAACTCATTACGCTTCTTTTTTCATCTGTTTTATTTTTGTCTGTCAGTTTTTACTATTTCTAGAATAGCCAGTTGATTTTGCATACATGGAAATATACAAAATAGAGTGCAGAAAGTAATGCGAGCTTATAAGTAAACCAATAAGGGTCACTGATTTTGAGTAATGTTACAGGCAGCTGAGCTAGTTAAAAATATTATAGACAGTCAGACAGAGTTAGGCCCTAGAAGAAGCTGGCACAGAGGGCCAGATGTCTTGTGACTTTGGAGGAGACACACACCTCTTGCTATGGGCCAGATCTTAAAACAGAAGGCAAAACAGATACAACTATACCCTTAAGTGTAATCCTTAGGGATTAGGTCTAGATCACCTTGAGAAGTCAGGAGTCACCATTCCAATCCCCAAGTGTCACTGATCTACACACTCCCTTGCTAGTGACTCCCTTCCTCTTTTGTTCCTAATTTATTCAATTTTACTGGACAATTAAACTTATTGGTAGACCATAGTTGTGTCCCACCTCATGTCCCTCTGCCTCATGAATTCCCAGTTTTCCTCAATTTAGATTCACCCCACCTCATGGTTTTACTCTATAAAAGTCCCTAGAAAACACAGAATCTTTGGCAATACACTCAGAACCCCTTCTGTGTCTCTCAAACAGAAGCTTTTATTCTCTCAATAAATATATTCTGCTCTTAACCTCCATTGTTCCTAAAATTCATTCTGTGATTTTAGAGAACACAGACTCACACTGGACATATAAACGGTCAGGATTTCATTCTGCTATATCCATAGGAACAATGATTTTATAATATGAATG